CAATCAAATCAAATCAAACTGAGTGATGTTATCGTACAACTAAACAATATCAATCTTCTGTTTTCCTAAATAAGCCTGGGAAACTTGAAAATTGCATTACAATGTGAATTCATTGTCAGTGAAAATGTAATACAATACACAACAATGGGCAAGGGTGGCGATTTGTATCCATGGTTGGGGGGGGGGGGACGATAGGTGCCAAAATATTTTCGGCAATGGATCAATTAAGCAACCAAGAGGTAGTCTAGACGCGTGTGGCAGGTTGCACCCCCTCCCCAAGCACGTAGCCAGTAGATTATTAAAGAAAGAAGACGATTCGATGTACCATTCTCGACTCTTAATCCTTGTATGAATCAAGTTCCCCTTCCTCCGCGCGAAGCGTGGAAGCTCTGACGATACATTAAATCATTAAAAAAAGAAGACGATTCGATATACCATTCTCGACTCTTAATCCTTGTATGAATCAAGTTCCCCTCCCTCCGCGCGAAGCGTGGAAGCTCTGACGATTCATTAAATTATTAAAAAAAAGAAGGCGATTTCATGTACTATTCTCGACTCTTAATGTTTGAATCAAGTTCCCCTTCCTCCGCGCGTAGCGCGGAAGCTCTGACGTTTCATTAGATTATAAAAGAATGAATGCGATTTCATGCATTGTACTATTCTCGACTCTTAATCCTTAATGTTCGAATCAAGTTCCCTTTTCTCCGCGCGTAGCGCGAAAGCTATGACATTTCATTAGATTATTAAAGAAAGAAGACGATTCGATGTCCATTCTCGACTTTTAATCCTTGTCTGAATTCAGTTCCCCCCTCCCACGCGAAGCACGGAAGCTTTGACGTTTCAATGAATTTTTAGAGAAAGAAGACGATTCGTTGTATCGTGTCCTTGTCTGAATTCAGTTTTTCCCCTCCAGCGCGAAGCGCGGAAGCTTTGACGTTTTCATTTGATTACTTTTAATCCACGTCTGAAATCATTTTTGCCCATCACGCGTAGCGCGGAAGCTTTCGCGTTTCATTAAATTATTATAAAAGACGATTCGTTGTATCGTGTACTTTGACGTTTCATTTAATTATAACTCTTAATCCTAGTCTAAATTTAGTTGCCCCCCTCCCGCGCAAAGTGCGGAAGCTTTGCCGTTTCACTAAATTATTAGAGAAAGAAGACGATTCGTTGTACTGTTCTCTATGAATCCTTGTCTGAATTCAGTTTCCCCACATGATGTATGTATGGAACGTTCGTTCGCAAATCTTTGCATGCACAGCCCGAGTGGTGGGTAGCATGTTATCTCCCGACAGTGCTTGTCGCAATAGCTTCTGGAAACGAATTGTATACTACTGTTAGTGTTAACGGCGACTAATAAGGCCCATTAGTGACTATACAAAATATATGCTCTTCCTGGCTATTTGGGAATGTGCCAGTTTGCAACAGAAATGGAGAACGAATTTTGTTGAAAATCATGTGATATCACGAACATTTATAATTCACTTGTATGAAATTGAAAATAAGTCATGGTTGGATTTTATTGGGGGAGGGGGGGGGGGGCTAGTGCCCCCAAGCCCTCCTACCAGTTCGCCAGTGACATAGGCCTACATCAGCTTTTCAATAAAACAAAAATAAGTTGTGACATAATAATCTTACTTCAAAAATGAAAAATGTTTTAGGAAATATCAGGAAATAAAATGAGTGAAAAAAAAAATAAAGATACAATGAAGTGAATTTTAAAAAGGGTGAACGGAAACAACATAACAACTAGTGAACTATATTATAAGTCATACTAATGTCCGAAAATCTTTCTACTTGTCTCCGATCTCATCACGAATTCGTCACAGAGTTCATCTATGTTTACACTGTCCAGGAGTGTCTGATGTGCATTGCAGATTGCTACTTTTGCGCTTCGCGCTTAAAGGTAAAGACCAGTTATGGTCATGCGATTGCATTGTGAAAGAAACGTTGTGGAATCGATCAGAAAAGGTTGATCATCTAGCATCTAGCATCTGCAAGGTTCAAAATGATAAGAAATTTGGCCCATTCTTCGTAAAGTTACAAGCACTATACACAGAAAGACGTATATGGGACTACCCTATATCTCTCACAGACCATGAGAGAAACAAATTTACCAAAGATATGAATTAGTAGGCGGTTTCCCGGCAAATTTTTTATCATCATGTATAAGTCAAAACATATTCTTTCACATGATTGGTAATGAGAGCTTCCATTTCATTTTTTGAAATTGGGGCGTTTCCAATACTGGTCTTTACCTTTAACATTTAGCTCTATGATGCTGTTGATTGAAGAAATTGAATAAATTCATCAATTCCTGATGAAGCCGTATGAGCGAGAATTCAATTTATTCTTGTCTCATATACGGTTGTCTCATTTACTTCGTATATAATGAGATAGCAAAATGTGTATATTGATAGTCATCTTGCGAGTAATAATCATTAACTACTCTAATCGGGCTCTCATCATTAATTTTTCTCTTATTTTTTTTATTTTTTAGGGTGAATTATTGGGGGGGGGGGGGGGATATATCCCCCCATCCCCCCGGGATCGACACCCATGACAATGGGCAAATAATTGTTTCCAGACCAATGATTTAAGTAAGAAGAACTTACATTTTATATTGAAACTGTTGCCGTTGTATATACATCAGGCGTGGATCCAGGATTTCTTAGGGAGGGGTGGGGGGGGGGGGCAAAATTTGAAATTATACGGGCCAAATATTGGTTCGTAATGGTGACCAGCAGTGACGTAATTGGGGGTGGGTGGGTGCAGGCAGGGAGGGGCGAGTTTCCCCCTCCCTCCTCCGCGAAACGCGGAAGCTTTGACATTTCAATAAATTATTAGAGAAAGAAGACGATTTGTTGTACCGTTCCGAAAAAATAATCCTCGTCTGAATTGAGTTCTCCCCCTCCCGCGCTAAGCGGAAGCTTACGTTTCATTAAATCATTAGAGAAAGAAGACGATTTGTTGTGTCCTCATCCCCTTTTTTTCTTCTCTTCCTCTTTTTTCCTTTCTTGTATCTCATTTTCCTTTTTTCTTTCCCTTTCCTTCCTTCTCTTTTATTTTTTGATTGGGGGGGGGGGGGGGGGGGCAACAGCCTGGGAGGCAAGTCCTTTTGCCCCCTCCCGATCTACTTCTTCCCTCTTTTCTTTTCTTCTTCCTCTTCTTTTTCCCTTTCTCTCCTCGTTCCCTTTCCCTTCTTTCCTTCTCTCTCTCTCCTTTTTTTTTTTTTTGCGGGGGGGGGGGGGTGCCAAGACCTGCTCGGCCCCCCTGGATCCGCGCCTGCCGTATTGAGCTATGGAACCTCACACTCTCTCCTTAGGACAATGTCATACAATAGCGGAGTGTCTATCTTTATTTATGGGGTCATGATATCCGCCGTAGGGCCCCTTGTGGGTTGCAGGGACAGTGCCTCAGCCAGGGATCCAGGAGTCAAAGCCCCCGGAAACTCTCAAGTTTAGCAATTCAGGAAATTCTAGATAGCTGTCGTGAGCGTACAAACTGTAATCTATCCCTTGAAATTTAAATTGCACTGCCCTTATTGTGTGCTCTTTAAAAAGAGCACGTAAAATCCCTCATATTAGGCATTCATGTCATTAGTAGAACACAGGCGCGTACGCAGGGGGGGGGGGGGGGGTTGAACCCCCCTTTGGTATTTTTATGTGTTTATTTTTTAGGAACCCCCCCCCCCCCCTGCGTAAGCGCCTGTATTCTACTAATGACATGAATGCTCATATGAGGGATTTTACGTGCTTTTTTAAAATTTATTTTTTAAAATTAATTATACAAAATAAAAAATCATGCCCATGGCTGACCTAAAAAAGGTGACCTCACCCCCCCCCCCCAACGAAGAAAAATTTCGACACCCCCCCAAAAAAAAAAGTCCTCTTACCCCACCCCCCCCCCCCCCCCCCCCCCCCCCCCCGCTTATTCAGCGGCTGGATGAGTCGTTGCGAAATTTTCGGCCCGATTTCAAAATGTTATAACCCCCCCCCCTTGAAAAAATCCTGCGTACGCCACTGGTAGAACATGTCCTTGAATACTGGACAAAACATTCAATGGGATGATGCCCACATTATTGGCCCGAATTCACACAGCAAGGTTTGAGCTCAAACCTCCTTTTGTTTCGCCAAACCTCCTTTTGTCCTTTACAAACCAGGTTTGTAAAAAACGCGTAAAACGTGTCATATGACGTACGAAAACCAAGGTTTGTCGACAAACCTCCTTTGTGAATTCGGGCCATTGAGTTTGAAACGCACCGACTACTTGTCAAGAATATTAGAAGAATCCGTCTGCATAAAAAAGGATTAGCCCTTGCACTGAATAGGGATAGTTGAATTAATTATTCTTCGCTCCAGTGACCAGGGGGTAAGGTCAGCTTTTTGGGGTCACCCAGGCCATTACCCCAATTAAAAAAAAAAAATAAAAAAAATAAATTCTCCTCCAAAACACACACATAAGAAAAGTTAAAGGGGGGGGGGGGGGGGTCCCCCTGCGTACGCGCCTGTCGCTACCCATACAAAAAACACCTCTGAAATATTGTGTATTATGGTTGTTAGTTTGGGTAGTTTGGGTACTATAGTGGCAGGCAAACCCCCATTTGTTTACTTTGAATTTATAGGATTTAAATGCGTTTGATCTGTTGAACTCTTTGCAAGAGGGCGCTGGTGGTGATGCGGATTTTGTTTGCCCCCCCTTCCTCCTCCCCCCCCCAAAAAAAGTTTTTGATCATTAATTATAGAGTCTACGCCACTAGAGAAAATGAAACTCGTGAAACTCATGGAACTCACTTATCAAAGACAAAATCAAAGAGAATTCAAAGCCCCTGTTTTGTGAAAAAGTTTCGTCTTAGAGGGGCACACCCCCGTGCGTCCTAATATGTGAGTACCCCCCCCCCCTCCCCCCACCCACCACGGGTTCATTGGGAGGGATCCACTGATCTCTACGGAAAAATCCTTTCCGTAGAGATCAGTGGAGGGATCAGATCACTCAATGGGAACGTACGCTGATCAAAATACCACAGTCGCTGACGCCGAGCGAGCGCGCCGCCGGGCGCGGCTAGGCTGGCTTTAAATTGTCATTGCACTCGCTACATTTATGCCGTGCCGGGCCGGGTGAACAACAAAGCTTGAAAATGACTCCATATTTCCATAACAAAAGGAGATTCTGTCATTGAAGTGCAACAGTTGATCCGTGAGAATCACACTAGAGCATACATCACTATGTGTTTACGAAATAGATTATATTAGATAATAATTTACCTTAGATCTATTTAGCATGCAATTTGTGTTAGTGTTGCACAAGAATCATGATCCGACATATCACACGAAAATTATTTTCACCTAAGTACTTGGTTTGGACGAATATAGCATCAGGAGGAATTATTTTAACATGTGGAGATGCCGTCGAACAATACCGGGAAATTCTAAAGAAGCGAAAACAACAGCAAATTCAACGATGGAATATGAAACGAACAGGTAAGTGGGTGTATAACTAAGATGAGATGCCAGCTGTTAGTGTTAGTAACTTGGCGTGATCATTGGTGTAGGTCTATAACTGTCTGCTTCAGCAGCTCAGCTCAGTCCCATGTACTGATTTTGAAAACAACAAAACGACAGGATGCACAGAGCTCATCTGCACTGAGCTGAGTTAAACGGGTAACGAACTACCTATACCTGTAAGTCGAGTCAGACACATAAAAATAAAGCCACTGGTCATAGAGTATGTGCAAACACTTGTGACTGAAGTAGACTAGACTCTATATATTAAAGGTACTAGGCCTATGTCCCTTTTGCAGCCAACCTCAAATGCTGTAGAACTTTGCAGGAATTATGAATATGTCATGTATGTCCTATCTGTGAAATTTAAACGTTAGCAGTGTCCTCATATTCAAATTATGCAAGGAAACCCGTTTACTTGCTAGACTTCACTGTCAGACACTATTGAGTGACTGACTGGCCTTTTTTCTTCTTTGCTAATAACACACATAAAAAGAGTTGTAAAGGGTACATGAGCATTTGTCTACATCAATAACCCACTTCTTGTGACGGCCAAGATTAAACTGATTGAATCTTTGCACAGCATAAAACGTAGGACCATTCGGTACAATGGTCTGAAAATCAAGACTATTACTTTTGGGCTCTATAGCCCTAAAGTCGATTTGACAACTAATAGTCATAATTTTCCCACTTAAAGTCATTTTCAAGCCCCACCTTTTTTAGGGAAGTTCTAATTAGATCTAGTATTATCTTTCAAATGCAGTTGGAATTTCACTTTTTCATTTTTTTGGCCTGCAAATGTATTGGAAACGCCCCAATTTCAAAAAATGAAATGGAACTTGGAAGCTCCTATTAAATTAGTTTATCTATTGTTATGTGAGAGATAAACGCATGTATGCGTATAGTCCCATATACATCTTTCTGTGTACAGTGCTTGTAACTTAACAAAGACTGGGCCAAATTTCTTATCATTTTGATGATTCCAGAACCTTGCAGTACACACCAATACTTATACAGTGTATGCTAGATGATCAACCTTTTCTGATCGATTCCACAATGTTTCACAATGCAATCGGCATATTTGATTTATACAGCTAGTGTAGGGTTGTGGTTCTAACAAATTTCTAGCACTCTTTAAGTACACAGAGTCAGCCCAGCAGACATGTTGTACGATTGAGAACTCCTGGCTAACTGAACAGGTTTTAATGTAGCAAAGCATTACAGCATTCTATGTAGCATTCCACATACATTCCAAGCAAAGTAGAAGAAACCAATAAATATTCATTTAGTCCCATACAAGTATAAATCAGCATCACAAAGTCATTCTTGAATATTCAAACATAAACAAAGGGTATACATGTATATTGAATATTCATGGTATATGTAAATTATACTATAAGCTTGACTGCATCAGGTGAACATTGAAACCAATGAGAGAGAGAGAAATAGACAGATGAAAGGATGGTGGATGAAAAGGGTGAATGTGAATGAGGGATGACCTATTAATATGAAAGGGATGAATCATGGATATGAGGGGGAGTTTCAGAAGTTCAAAATAAGTCCCTACACTAGTTTACATGCAGTTCGCAATGAACCGCTACAGGTGAATGAGTAGACGTAGACTGTAGAGTTTTATCTGACGAGAATGCCCTAGGTGCCAGACTCTTATTGCACATTTTATCTTCGTTCTTGTTTGTCATTGTTCTGGCAATTTGGCATAGATCTAGTCATAGATTTATCCGTGCATGGATCATCTTCATGATACCACACATAGCTGCATTACTATCCTGGCTGTGTATTAAAAGCTGTGCTATTGATGCTCAACATTTTAAACACCACTGTACACAACTCAACTGATTTCACTCAAAATCGGTACTTGAGTGACAATTGATGACATCTAAATAAATAGCAGTAAAATACAATTTTTAAACTCACCAATGTTAAAAAGAATAATTTAAAAATTCAAATTGTAAGTCTATACTGTCAAACTTGCCGATCAGCCACATCGGCTAGACTGTGTGCATTTGTGTGTTATGAGTGTATTGACTATTCATGTGTGCAAATGCTGCCTTTTAACTCTTTGCCCGCTTCGTTCGGCTAGCGGAACATACAGCGGGCTGCCAACTTCGACTCAAGTCACATTTCATTCACAATACACACGGAACGCATTTAATTCTATTGTACGCACACACACACAATAGTAACGCATGCTTCGCATTGTATACACATCACACTTCATTGCACCGCTTTCGCAGACATTGTTTACATTGACATTTTCCGAGAAAAATTGAGTTTTTGAAACTGCTTTTGCAAATATTCTGATGAGCTAGGATGGCCCCTATTAGGAGGAGACGGGACTTCTTCACAGCTGATCAGGTACGAGAACTTGTGATGGACCCTGTTCCAACAGCCGACTCTGATTCAGAGGAGAGCGAGACTGACTCTGACGAGGAAGATGAGCCTGGTCCCACACGTACACTTTTGCGTAATCCCACAGAACATGATAATGGCGTGGACATCAATCACGATTCAGACAGCGAGTTTGAAGAGGAAATTAGGGATGATGTGTCGATGGTTTCAGCAGAGGATGAGCCTGAGGAGTGGATAAGACTGGAAGATGGAGATGAATGGCAAGCTGACTGGCTAGATGACTTCAGTGAAAATGGTGGACGACCAAAGCTTCTGTTTGATGTAAACCAGAACACAAAACCACTGGACTATTTCTATCAGTTTTTTCCTGAAGAGCTGTTTGTTCTAATGGCGAGAGAAACTAACCGGTATGCAAAACAAACTTGATCTGCAATAGATGAATGCCTTATTTTCGGGTTGTGTGGAATAACAATATAGTTACAATTTGATATGCAATATATGAATGCCTTATTTTCGGGTTGTGTGGAATAACAATATAATTACAATTTGATTTGCAAATTTGATTGTCTTGTGTCGTTTATTATTTTCAAAAAAGTGACTGTTTTTTTTTTATGGGAGTTCTTATTCAACACTTTTTAGAGTGTGGTTGAGTTGTGGGATGAGATGAGATGCATGTAGAGAAGTTGAGTGACTAACAAGGAAAGTGTGGATGATAGAGAATTAAATAGAGTGAAAGCGTTTTGAAGCATTGAGGGAATAATTCAACATAAAGTACCCTAGCTCTCTCTCTTCGCCTGTCTCTATTTCTCTATACCTGACTTTCTCTGTCTCCGTCCCTTTTCCTTCTATCTCTCTCTTTCTATCTATCCGCCTCTCTGTCTGCCTGTCTCTTTCGCAATCTGATTGTCTCTTTTCTCTCTCTCTCTCTCTCTCTCTCTCTCTCTCTCATTTCTCTCCCTATCTGCCTGTCTCTTTCTTCTTCCCCTCTCCCTGCCTATATCTTCTTTTCACTCTCACTTTCTCTATCTGCCGCTATTTCTCTCTCTCTCTCTCTCCTTGTTTCTTATTTCTCTCTGCCCCTCTGTATCTTCTCATCCTCACTTTCTCTTTCTGCAATTCTTTCTCTGTCTGCCTATCTGTCTTTCTCTCTCCGTGTCTCTTCTTATTTATATCCCTATCTGCCTATCTCTTTCTTCTTCCCCTCCCCCTCTATCTCTATCTTCTCACTCTCACTTTCTGTATCTGCTTATCTCTTTCTTTCTCTCTCTCTCTCTCTCTCTCTATCTCTCCCTGTCTCTTGTTATTTCTCTCCCTATCTGCCTGTCTCTTTCTTCCTCCCCTCTCTCTGCCTCTCTCTATCTTGTTCTCACTCTCATTATCTCAACCTGCCTCTGTCTTTCTCTGTCTGCCTATCTGTCTTTCTCTCTCCGTGTCTCTTCTTATTTATATCCCTATCTGCCTGTCTCTTTCTTCTTCCCCTCCCCCTCTATCTCTATCTTCTCACTCTCATTTTCTGTATCTGCTTATATCTCTTTCTTTCTCTCTCTCTCTCTCTATCTCTCCCTGTCTCTTCTTATTTCTTTCCCAATCTGCCTGTCTCTTCGTTCTTATTCTCTTTCTTTCTCTCTCCCTCTCTCTGTCTACCTCTTGTCATAATGAACATGTCAATATGAGACTACATATGTAGACGAATATATTTTATTCTTATTTATTATACATCAGCTTTCTACAATTCATAACTTAGTACATGTTTCAAGCATACATTATGTTCATGGCTTGCCTTATTAGTGTAGAAAATCAATAAGTTCTTCTATTCATTTCTTTCAATTCTAATAGCTTGCACAGCCTTGCAAGTAATAATAGAATGTTACACCATCTTACCTACAGACACAATAAAGGTCATCAAAGTACAATCAAGAGACAGGAAGTCTATTCAAAAGTACCCAGGGTCAATTTCAATAGGAGATTAGTTCATTGTCGGCTTACTCTTTATTCAATCCTAAATTACCAGGCTCATTGTGACCTTCAACACATGAATTTGGTATGTAGTGAAAGCTCATGAATACATCTTTTCAATAAACTAACTCAGGACATAAACCTCCATAACAAAGTATTAGATATAAGAGGTATAGAATACCCTTCTAAACGAAAACTTGGGTACAAAATGTATAGTTGATAATCTCAAAATTTATGATAATATACATTACAAAAATGATACCATTGGCAAGACTATTAATTTCTATACAATATTGCTACACAAAGTTTTTCATTACAGTACAGTACACCAATCAAAAGTTATTGCGAGTTGAATAAGCATAGTCCATGCAGAACCCCTCCTAAGGTGGCACCCTAAAAAAAATGTGGCACAGGGGGGATTATGTACGTGGCGGGCAAAGAGTTAACACGTAGTGCAGTGCTAGAGGTCAATACGCATTAGCATTGACTCTCTATGCTTTGCTGGAGTGTACGATACTGTACAGTATGTGAAAAGGAAAATGGCGCGTACCATCTACCATTTAAGTTTCATCTTTGAAAGTTCATTTCTTACTATGGACAATGCCGGAATGGAGAGGTTAAGCAGAGGCACCATGATTATGATTCATTAATGGAGGTGTTGTGTCGAGTTCTGCTGTAGCAGTGATGTCCTTTGGCAAGACCTTAATCTACATCTACCACTCTCCACCCAGGTCTTTAACGGGTATTGGCAGGAAGGAATGAATTCCTTGATTGCTAATTGCTATAGCTGTGAGCACTAAAATTGATAGCCTAGCACTGTGGCAGAGCCAAGGTAATATTGGAGTGCCATGAGCACCTTATATTGGTGGATAGGTGTGCTTTAAAAATATCCCATATCATTATTAAATCAATTCTTCAGCTAGCGGAGTCGTAAGAAAAGTTGACTATGCTTTTCCTTGAATTTTCATGACCGTATTTATATTAGAAAGTACTATAAGTAGTTATATCGTCAATGCTTGCATGATATTATCCAACATTGGCCAAGAAATTGATATGATTTTTATTATTTAATTGTCTGTTTTTGTTTGTTTCCACTACAGGTTGCATGTTTGCCATTGGAATCGCTCTTGGTCCATTCAACCACTACTGGTACGTTTACCTCGATCGCTTCCTTCCAGGCATCGCAGCATCCACAGTAGCAACAAAGATTGTCCTCGATGAAATAATCGCATCTCCTGTACTAACCATCTCATTCTTAGTTGGTAAGTACAGCATCTTTCATGTTTTATCTAATATGTAAAGGCAAACTGGTCATGGGGGGAGGGGGGGGGGGTGGGATACATGCCCCCAACCAAGCAAAATATGTTTTTAATTTATTTGTAACTGAATACAATATATGCAGGGCTACTTGTTTCAACTTTCAATTAAGGGGGCTAAGAGGATTCAGAGGAGACACCTGTATGCATTCTCGGGCAAAGCAAAATATGTGTATGCTGTAAATGCACTGAATTGGAGAACGAAATAACACAGAAATGCATAATGATAGTTCTGGAAGACTGGAAATGCTGTCATAAATAAAATCTTTTAAACAGAATCTTCGTAAACAATTTTTTTTTCTTCAATTATAGGAATCTGTACATGTTGTTGCTGTAGGCCTACTGTGTCGTACTTCTACGCGATGTACAATTAATTTTCAAATTTTAACGAAAATATTGGTAAAGATAATCATTTTGTTAATATTTTAATGTTCATACAGCTTAAACTTTGTGAATAAAGAGCAACACTTTATTGTTAACCTTACCTTTGTCTTCCCCGTTATGTAGGTCTTGGTTTATGTGAAGGGAAACCTCTCTCAGACTGTGGCACAATGGTTAAGGAAAAGTTTCCCACAATTTGGATGGTAAGTGAACATACGTTAGTGGGATAAAAAATCATGCAAGAGTGAAAAATATGTGAGTTGTTCATGCTCAGTAGAATGAATGAATAAGTTAAAACCACTCTGCTCTCCCTCCTGCCCCCCTCCTGCCACCCCCCCCCCAACATCAATCAAATTTTCAATTTTCAAAGTAAAAAAAAAAAAATCTGTCTGTGGTAGGCAAACAAGAAAAATTGTTGTTGTTGTTGTTTCAGGATAACATGTAAGTAGTTCTTGTGATAAGTTAGAAAAAAGATGCTACCCTCGATCACACTGCCATACTGACTCCACACCAATCCCAAACTGTCTGATTCTGGGCCATTTCGTTCAATGTCATTTTTAGTTTGGTCTGTGGACAGTGTGATGTTGGTGATGGCCATTTCCACCTCACCCCCATCATCAGTTATCTTTCACACATGATCTTGCAAGCAAAATTAAATTTCCTTCATCCTTCTGTCCTCAAAGAAATTGGGAAAACAAACAATTTTATTTTAATTTGCATACCGGTACATTATGAATCTATTGAATAGCCATTATATTTTTGATATTTCTATGTTGACGTATGTTGTTGCCACATTTCTTCGTCATTGATACTGCATTGTGGGTGTGGGCATGGAATCTATATTACCATGGACATATATAAAGTGCTTCGTAGTATTATGATGATCATTTTGCACCTCTGTTTTAAGATGGACCTAATTGTGTGGACACCTGCGCAATGGATAAACTTCAGATGCCTTCCATTTCCAGTTCGTGTTGTGTATGTTAATACTTTGGACATGATGTGGTCCATGTTCCTTTCATTTTACACCTATAATGATGGTCCTTTAGACCATCAAAGGGAAGATTCTGAAGGTAAGGAGGGGTCACAAACTGAATAATTCCAAGACTTGGTGAACTTGGTGAACTTATGCATCATGCATGTAAACCCACTGATAACACTCCATTGATTTTGTTAGTCTAGCTGTCTGGGGTAGTATATAATATTGGTTCCCTTTTTGATCGGTATTTGCAATGACGACCTTCGTCATTGCCTCGTTTTCGTTCACATTCTTCTTATTAATATTCTTACTTCTTCTTCTTCTTGTCGTCCGGAATCCCATTCGTTTTGCACATGGTGCTTGTTATTCCTAGTTAGGTGCTTTCCTCATGTCCTTTTCCTTTCAAATTTCATAGGCATAGTCTCTAACCTCTCCTCAAGGTCACTACATTCTTTGATTTTCAAAATCACTCATGCATAACCTTCAAGGCGCTATTTTGTCCGTTTCTGGTCCATTTTAAAGGTAAAGACCAGTATTGGAAACGCCCCAATTTCAAAAAATGAAATGGAAGCTCTCATTACCAATCATGTGAAAGAATATGTTTTGACTACATTAATACATGATGATAAAAAATTTGCCGGGAAACCGCCTACTAATTCATATATTTGGTAAATTTGTTTCTCTCATGGTCTGTGAGAGATATAGGGTAGTCCCATATACATCTTTCTGTGTATAGTGCTTGTAACTTTACGAAGAATGGGCCAAATTTCTCATCATTTTGATGATTCCAGAACCTTGCAGATGCTAGATGCTAGATGATCAACCTTTCCTGATCGATTCCACAACGTTTCTTTCACAATGCAATCGCGTGACCATAACTGGTCTTTACCTTTAAGGCCTTTCTATCTTCCTTCCTATCTCCACTATCCTAGATCCTACAACCTTCTAACAAATTCCTCTAGATAGTTTTAGAGATGTTCTTTAATCTACGACAAATAACCTGCCCTTCAAAATACCATCTTCGTACTCAAAATTCAAATCTGAAACCAACTCCGTCAAAAATCTCTCAAATTCTCGAAAAATTGACCCCTTAATAATCTAAAACTGCCATAACTTTCTCATATAAATTTCGTTTTGTATTTAAATTTCACAGTATCTTTATCTCATGATTGCACATAGCCATGCCAAATTTCACGCTCCAATGGCTTTGCAAAACATAAATAGCGCCCTCTAAAGTTCTGGGAATTGGCTTTCTTTCTGTGGCCGTATCTCCATTATGGCTTGGCAACCCGTACCCTTTTTTGGATTTAGAAACTTGAAGTAATGCCCTTTCAAGCCATATACAAAATTAAATACCCTTTTGCTGACCAAATTTGAGAAAATTGCCCTCCAAATTCGCCATTTTCAAGAAAATTGAGAAATAACTTCAACTTGCTCTAAAATGACGATCTTTATACCTACCTCAATGAAACTTGACAGACACATGTATCCATAAACGTGACAACTGTCTGTCAAGTTTAGTAAATTTTAATGCCCTTTTCGCAAAGTTATCGCCCAAAATGATGAATTTACAATGCATTACGTAATAGCGCGTTTGATGCGTGCAGTACGTTGCGCGCAGATGACAATGATGTCAAATTGACCGCAAGGAAGTGCCCTTTCGAATGATACCAAGTATGGTTCATGTTCACACAGAAAATGTTGAGTAAATCGCATTTGAACAAGGGTCACTATACAAATTCCGCCGAGTTTCCGCCCGATTATATCACTTATCGGTCATGACGTCATTTTTTCAGACTGCTTCATAGGTGTATAGTCACTACCATCTTATCATGAAGGTCCTCGTTGAGGCCTTTCTTTCGCCCTACCTATCTACACTATCACAGAAGCTACAGACTTCGTACAAATTGCTCTGGGTAGTCCGAGAGAAGCTCTTTCGTGTGACACGTAGAAACATGGCGTCATTGCACGCACATCGTTGTGACACGATTGCATTTCTAGTTTAACATTTGTGTTCAATATATATCTTTTTGTGGAGATCCAACGTGATATCATTATGACTCTGCCTCTCCCTCTCTCTGTCTGTCTCTCTTTTCCCCCTCTCTCTCTCTCTTCCTCTCTCTTCCTCTCTCTCTCTCTTCCTCTCTCTAGTCTCTTCCTCTCTCTAGTCTCTTCCTCTCTCTCTTTCTCTTCCCCCTCTCTCTTCCTTCTCTCCCTCTTCCTCTCTCTCTTTCTATTCCCACCTCTCTTTCACTTCCCCTCTCTCTCTTTCTCTTCCCCCTCTCTCTTCCCCTCTCTATCTCTCTCGCTCTCTCTCTTCCTCTCTCTCTTTTTCTTCCCCCCTCTCTCTCACTTCCCCTCTCGCTCTATCTCTCTCTTCCTGAGGTGATCTTGAGGCAGGAGACAGCAAGAAAATGTGTGAAGAATCGTCTTGCTTGAGAAAGTTTTAGGAGTAGACGAAAGCTTGTCTAACAAAGATTAAAGTTGGTAGAAGCTTAAACTGCATGTTAACTAGGTTATTTCCATGTGCATCGTTGATAGCTACATGTGCATGTATATATACCGGTACTAGTTCATTGCAACACTTGACTGTAAATATGATAAGAATCTTAAAGGTAAAGACCAGTTATGGTCATGCAATTGCATTGTGAAAGAAACATTGTGGAATCGATTAGAAAAAGGTTGATCATCTAGCATATAAGTATTGGTGTGTACTGCAAGGTTCTGGAATCATCAAAATGATAAGAAATTTGGTCCAGTCTTCGTAAAGTTACAAGCACTGTACACAGAAAGATATATATGGGACTACGCACATGTGCGTGACACGTGCGTTTATCTCTCACACACCAATAGATAAACTAATTTACCAAAATATATCAATTAGTAGGCGGTTTCCCGGCAAATTTTGTATCATCATGTATTAGTCAAAACATATTCTTTCACATGATTGGTAATAAGAGCTTCCATTTCATTTTTTGAAATTGGGGCGCCGTGTTTTCAATACTGGTCTTTACCTTTAAACCAAACTCTGATATCTGGGAATATCTATGATAGGGCAGGAGGATGTACATGTACATGTATTTATGTAGGAGTAGGAGCTATAAATTATGGAGCATTTGATGTCTCCAAATGACTTCACTGTTATTGTTTTGGGTTTGTGTGGGACTACAGTGAATGGGACACAATAAACGTTTTGTATCTGCACCATGTTTATAGCAAATCTAAAAGTCCCTAATATAGAGTACCAAAGTGCACACATCATTATTTGCTCATCGTCCAGGTTACTGGTTCTAAACAACAGAGCCTGCATATGAGGTTCAGCGCAAAATCCTTCAAGCAACGGGCTGGGGCAAGTCAAATTCAGTGTTTGGGGCTGGTGTGATCACAACACCATTGTTTAGCTCAAAATTGTTTGGAATCGACAACCTTGACAACTTGGCCAGTATGACGTCACACTTTCGTACTCTATTCCTTCTCTCTGAAAACTAATGATGGTTCCCAGTGCAATATTAATTTATAGGCTAGTCTTGTTATGTAACCAAATTGAATGCATGTACATCTTAGTGAAGTGAATTGGTGCAAATTATTTCATTCACCTGTTACAAATACCTGTATACATGTATATCATTCGTCTGAATGCGAATTGCATACATGTACTTCAGTTGTTGCTAGGTAGGACGAACAAAATGGCTTGCCCTATCTGACAACATGCATACCAACTATTAAATTATTATCATTTGTAACAGCTGGATACATCAAGGCACTTCAAAATGACATAAAATGATATGTATGCATTAAGTTTGGTTACCTTAAGAAAATGGCCTATTGGCTAATGTACACGTTTCCTTGTCAACTATAATACTTAACCCTAATAAGGCCGGGGGGGGGGGGGCATTATGGCCCCGCCCCCTCCACGATTTTTCTGATTGCTCGAGAACGCATATGGATGGCGCCCCGCCACTCCCTGACTTTTTTCTCTCGAGTCTTGCGCAACTTTTAAAAGAATTTTTTTGAAAATCGGACCTACGCTTACAAGGTCACGTGACCTTTTATCTTTGCATGTCACCCCGAAAATCGCTCATTTTCATGATTTGTGTACAAAACATATGGAAAAGTAATTTTTCCTAAAAACAGATCAAACATGGGTTATTGGGTCTTGTTTAAAGTTTAGGCGGTTGTTTTGGGTGTCAAAATAGTTGAATTGTAGTAAGAAATGAAATAAAACAACAAAAACAATGACATACATAAGTTAAAAAAACAATGAAATACATAAGAAATTATCAAAACAAGGGATAACATAAGGAATAAGCTGGCTCTTCCAAATTTTTTTGTTGTATTATTATTCAGAAATGGTCTAATGAATATATGTAGTGAAAAAGAATGCCTAATTATGAATAATATATGATTTACATTGTATGGGTAAAAATCTGAGTTTTATGACTTTATTTGCATAAATTACCATAAATATGCAAATGAGTGAATTTTTCAAAAAATTGAAATTATCATATTATTCTATACACTTCACTGCAAATTTTCGCGGCGATTGGCCGCTTCGCGGCCGAGATCTTAAGGGGGGGCCATAATGCCCCCTCCGGCCGTACTAAGACCTCAAATAGCCCGGCCTTATTAGGGTTAATGGATATTACCTGCATTCATTGTACACTCCTTGCCTCCTAACCTTTCATCCTTATATATTATTTCTTTTCTCCATGCTTTAAAAAGTTAAATTAATTGAAATTAATTAATTCAATGCTCTAGAATATATATAAAATCACAAATATCCTTGTAATGAGCACATTTTTTTTTTTTTACACATTTTTTTTCCCAGGGAGGGGGGGATCCGCCACTGCATTCTACAACTGGACAGCTGAAAAGGTTAAAACGGGAAAATGAAATACACAGGCAAAAGAATGGAAAAGTGGGTAGTGAGCACATTTTTTTTTTTTGGCCCTCAAAAATTTGAAAATTTGCACCCCCCCCCCTTGAGCGCCAGGGGGGGGGGGGGATCCCCCAACAAGCTTAAACTAACGTGTTTTTACACATTTTTTTTCACGGGGGGGGGGGGGGGGGGATCCGCCACTGCATTCTACAACTGGACAGCTGAAAAGGTGAAAATGGGAAAATGAAATACACAGGCAAAATAATGGAAAAGTGGGTAGTGAGCACTTTTTTTTTTTGGACCTGGAAAATTTGAAAATTTGCACCCCCCCCCCCCCCTTGAGCGCCATGGGGGGGGGGGGCATCCCCCAACAAGCTTAAACTCGCGTGTTTTTACACATTTTTTTTCTCAGGGGGGGGGGGGGCGGGCCCCTGGACAGCTGAAAAAGTGAAAACGGGAAAATGAAATACACAGGCAGAAGAATGGAAAAGTCTGGCCTTGCCCTGTGATCAAGAAGCATACCTGCTTTATTTCTTAATTTTCGTTGAACAATTGCGAGCATTGAAATGCAAAAAAAATGATTGAGAGTGACAAACGAGACACTGCCCAGCTTGCAATGACTATAGATCCTTGCAAGCTTGGTAGTTTAGTTTACACATGTTTTGCCAGGATGGACAAAGTTACTCAGCTTCTGAATATGATTGACCCAATACCTCATTTGCTCAGAACTGTGGCAAAGTTACGTGTACACAGCATATCATAAAACTAAGGATGCATTCAATTTTGTGCTGACCAAATAATATTCATTGACCCGAGACTGAGTAAAGTACAATTCGTGGACAGATTTATAAAAGTACTATTGTGAAGTCTCAACGATTCATGATGTTTTGTTTGAATATTCAATAAGTACTCAATCACGCTATATGATGAATACCACGACACAGCAGTGGTAGGCGTGTCCAATGTAAGACTGAGCTGAGCTGGCGTCCAGAAGGTCCAGAAGAAAAAAAGTGTACAGTGCTGAATCCAAGGTTCTTGCATGAATTAATCCCTTGAAATGCTAGTGCGTCGTAATGGCAGCCACGCTTTTTAAAGTAATCGCGAGCGCCAGGAGTGTCAGTCTGACATATGTATGAGCGCTATTGTCTATGCAACAACCCATTATCATTAATATTCTTTTCCAGGGGTTTGAACATGTTTTCTCAATACTGTAACAAGAACGAAATAAAATATTTCGGTTTTAGAAGGCATAATCAAATTAAAAAAATGATGGGAAAACCCATCAAGATTAAAGCAAAGAAATAATATCACAGTTCGGAAGCCTCACATGACGAGAACCTCCCCCCCCCCTACACACACAAACAGACCCAAATTAAATTAACAACAAACGTAACAATTTGACGTGTGTATAAACATCATGCAGGGCAGCCCAGGTACATTCCCTTATCCCTCTTGAGGGGACCCCTCCCCCTGCTTATCAATTCTGGATACGCCACTGCACCCTGCAACCATGCCCATAGGAAAGTGAAAAGTATGCCGCAGACCTGCCGCAGACCTGCCGCAGATCTGCCGCAGACCTGCCGCAGACTTTTAGTCTGCGGCAAAGAGTATGCCGAAGTATGCAGCAGAAAGAAATTTTGCTGCAGACTTGCCGCATACCAGTATGCCACAGGAACAGTCTGCGGCAGATCTGCGGCAGGATGAAATTTTGCTGCAGACTTGCCGCATACTAGTATGCCACAGGAACAGTCTGCGGCAGATCTGCGGCAGGATGAAACTTTGCTCCAGACTTGCCGCATACTAGTATGCCACAGGAACAGTCTGCGGCAGATCTGCGGCAGGATGAAATTTTGCTGCAGACTTGCCGCATACTAGTATGCCACACGAACAGTCTGCGGCAGATCTGCGGCAGGATGAAACTTTGCTCCAGACTTGCCGCATACTAGTATGCCACAGGAACAGTCTGCAGCAGATCTGCGGCAGGGCGAAACTTTGCTCCAGACTTGCCGCATACCAGTACGCCACAGGAACAGTCTGCGGTAGGTCTGCCACAGGAAATCTCATTAAAGTCTAATAGGGCCAATTGAAACCAATCATCTCATGCATATTCATTATTACTTTACACGTGTGACAGAACAATACATTTATCATGATTTGTTAAGCAAATTAAGACAATGCACATCATTTTTGTGATTTCTATTTTCCTTTTGCCATTATTAACCAATAGATTATTTTGTCTGATCATGTTACAATTACATTCACGTTTAAGCAATAGATATATTGATTACTAACCAAGAAACTATGATTACTAACCAAGAAACAATATACATATTTAGTATTAATGTGTACGAGCCTGTGTCACTTTAAATGTTACTCTTGAATACACTTCAAATGATCAATGTGATGAAGTTAATACAATTCTCGCTACCCTAAATAGGTACGAAAATCTCGAAATTCGCGAGACGAGGTAATTTTCACTCTCTCGGGTCGTCACTACAACTTCCGGTATAGAGTCCCATCCCAAGTCACGGCCTTCATCCACCCCCATTTTTCAGGGTTCTTACGCTTGGAATCATGAGCCCAGCACTGTGCAGCCTCACAAAAGAAAACCATCGTCACTGATGTCAAAAGACGCAAAAAACAACGAATGAAATGTTCAAATAAACGTTGAAATATTTGCGAAAAAAAAACAAGACCGAGCAGACGACATATTCGGTGCATACACGTTGTGTGGCGACGGCGTTTTACGTTTGCGCTATCGCGCCTAGTAATATAGCGCCTGCACAGGAAGCTGTAATGTCGAAAAGCTATCCCATAATGCAATGCGCGTTTTCAGGATTTTCCCCGGATCTCGGCAGAATCGCTATTTGGGGTAGCGAGAATTGAGAATAGAATATACCTAATTGGTAATATCAACATACATATTGGTATTACCTAATTGGTAATATCGATATTGCCAATATCGATTATGAAGTATCAATCAGTTTATCACTGGTTCTTCTACATGCATACTTTATTGCCACGTACTGGATATGAAAGAGTATGCGGCAGGTCTGCAGCAGGTCTATATGAGATATGAATATTCAGAGTATGCGGCAAGTCTGCAGCAAGTCTGCGGCAGACCTGCTGCAGACTCTTCATCATACTGAAAGAGTATGCGGCAAGTCTGCAGCAAGTCTGCGGCAGACCTGCCGCAGACTCTTCATCATACTGAAAGAGTATGCGGCAGGTCTGCAGCAAGTCTGCGGCAGACCTGCCGCAGACTCTTCATCATACTGAAAGAGTATGCGGCAAGTCTGCGGCAAGTCTGCAGCAAAACTAATTTGCATGTGAAAAAGATGACTGTCTGCGGCAGGTCTGCCGCAGGAGTATGCGGCAGGCTCATTTCTTTCCTATGGGTGGTCGTAAAAGGTCCATGCTGCAACACTCTCCTCATTCCCCTCTTTTTATGCTTTAACTTGCAGTTTGATCTGTGCTTTTGGCCTACCATTCAGTGGATCAACTTCTACTACCTGCCTCCACGTGCCCGTGTCATCTATGTCAACTCTGTCACCTTTCTTTGGGATATGTTTCTTTCCTTTATGGTCTACGATTATAAGAGTGAATCCGGAAGTGAAGGAAGTATATCAGAAAGTCAGCAAAAATGTGCCTAATTTATCCATCATGCAAAAGGATCTTTCAGACATTAAGCGGAAAATCGCGGCGGTAATGTTTTTATCGTGTAAATGATTGGCAACAGGGTGCATCATTAAATACGCGTGTTAACTTTTTAGCTCTGTGTTGTTATAACCTACATAAATGCAAAGGGTATTACTAGTATGCTAACATCATTATTAGCTAGGTTGCGCAAATATTAAGCGCTCTGTTCAATAAGTAACATGATCTGATGTAATGGCGCCTGTATGAATTAAATTAAGGCCTTGTATTGTTTTGTTCAACATCTCCAAACAACTATTTGTGTTTTAATGAAATGGCTTGTAATTTAGTTGATACTCAAATTCTAGACAATTTTAGTCTGTGGATAGTTTGATTTCGTTTGACATGCTTGGAAGTGGATTGAGAGGTGAATATATTTTGTTTTTCCTCCTTTGTGACACTTCTGTCATATCTTAGTTGGTTTTAAAGAAATGTTTTTTGTTTTCTACAGAAGAATGAACAAGATCTTACTTTTATTTCCTTAAGTTCATGACTCTTGCCAGTACTTTCTGTGGTCATAAATAATAAATTTGTTTTGATGGATTTAGCTCTTTTTTAAAGATTTTGATTATAACCCCTAAACCGTGTGAGTCAAAACAAAAATTACACTCAGAAAATCATACATGTTTTGAAACAGTGTTATATCCCGAAATCGTTTGCTATTTTTGTGTGGTATCTGTTTACGCTTGGATGAACAGGAGGCATTGTTTGCGAGAGTGCAAAAATCGACTTGCACAAAAGTATCAAACTAAGAGAATGAATTGAATGTATCAAATTTAATGCATTGCATTTGCTTTTTGCAGAAACAAAGTCACACACACACACACACGCACGCATAAATGCTCTTTGATATTTGATATGTGTGGCATGATTAATTGTTAGGGATGTTATTTGGATCTGCAAAGACCGAATTAATACCGAATCTCAAATATTTTATTCAAACATCACATGTATTACTTTGGCGCAAATCGATTTTGCACTCTCTTAAACAATGTCTCCTGTTCATCCAAGCATGAACACATACCAAACATAAATGATACCAAATGATTTAGGATAAAACACTCTTTATATGATGTATAATAATTTACTGTTCATTGATGATTTAAAAGTAATTAGCAATTTTCTAGGTGTAAACTTTTTTTTTGACTTACACTGTATATTGTACTGAACATTGATTACCTTCCATCCTGCTTTCGAGCAGGAAATGCGGTGATCATTGACTCTTTTTAAAAATAAATCAAAGATATTAATTTTAGAAGAAAAACATTTTTCTTGAAACAACGCCAGCATATCGGGTGTAATGTGCAGCACAAAGTTGGTCCTCGCCATGTTTAAATTAGCTATTAATATTTGAGGTAATTTGTTCTACATGCTATTTACAATCGACTAAGATCGATTAAGATCGACTTTAAGTTGGACTTAACTATGGCAGGCTGTTCATGTCACTGTTTGTTCTCACCATTTACTGGCATTGCAATGGTCTCCCAAGGGACATAGAAATCATGGTCACAAATCTACAGAATTTACAATTTGTGATAATAATCATTATTTTAGGAAAAAATATTATATAAAGATCATAATAGTGAGAGCAACCAGTGGCATGAATGGCCTGCCATAGTTAAGTCCAACTTAAAGTCAGTTTTATAGTCTTTGTGAAACACCCTCAGGTCTACACACAGATCAACGTCAGGCTAACGGCTCTTGAACTCATCAAATGTTGCATTGCACAAAATATATCCAGGTACTATTATTCACAGCGATGTCGCTGTTTCTTCTTTTGATATAAAGGTACTTGTACTGTGGTGCCGCCAATAGCGTGCTAAAATATTATTGAAAGAAGTCCTAGGTACGTTCCCAACTACATCAAGGATTTTAGTATATGTGATTCATGTGAATTGCATCTAACTTATTTTGAATACTAAGCATGGTGCTGCCAAAAACGTGCTAAATTTTTGGAAAGTCCAATTTTATTCTTCTCCTAATACGTAACTTACTTTATCAACTATATCAACGGTTGTAGTATATCTTATTCATGTGATGATTTTATAAGTGCAATTATCGAATTGACAGCCTTAAGCCTGCCGCACACTATACGATCTAATTCGATCCTGCGATCCGATCTTCACAGAATTAACAATTACATTAAATATTGAAAGCAAACGCGCATGACCACCATCTTTCTGATTTAGGTTGTAAATAATCATAAGAATATCAACAATAGGAATGTCAGCGCTTTCAAGTAAAAAAAAAAAGCTGAATGGTCTTCAGATTGTATACTATCGCACTACTGTTGTGACGTACCTCACTACGATTCTGAGCCGATATAGCTTTTCCTCCTGATATACGAGGAAGCTTGAGGTCCATTGAAATGTATATGCTATTGATCATGTAACTATTCAGACCACCGATCATTTATATTTTAGAAGTTTAAAGATACTTTTGCAGCCAACATCAAATTATGTAGAACTTTGCAGGAATTATGAATATATCATGTATGTTCTATCTTTGAAATTCGAATCTTAGCAGGGTCCTAATATTCAAATTATGCAAGGAAACCTGTTTACTTGCCAGACTTCACTGTCAAGACACTATTGAGTGACTGACTGGCCTTTTTTCTCCTTTGGTAATAACATTCATAAAATGAGATGTAGGGTACATGAGCATTTGTCTACATGAATAACCCACTTCTTGTATTGGCCAAAATTAAACTGATTGAATCTTTGAAATCTTTGCGCAGCATAAAACGTACGACCATTCGGTACAATGGTCAGAAAATCAGACTATTACTTACTGGCTCTATAGCTATTAAGTCGATTCAACAAGTAATGGTCGTTATTTTCCCACTTAAAGACATTTTCAAGCCTCCTTCTTTTGAGGGAAGTTCTAAATTAGTATTATCTTTCAAATGCCGTTGGAACTTAACCTTTTCATGTTTTGGCCTGCAAATGGGATATAGTACCTTTAAATGTTCATATCACATGCTATTTCGATTTTTCTTCCAAAATCGGATGTAGTCAGATTGAAGAATGTGCGATGGGCTTTACATACACTGTGGAGCCTCTAGCCCTGTGCAATATCAATATCGCGTATTGTGCTTTAGGTGCTCATCATGTTATACGTTTTTAGATACTTGATATTTTGTGAAAACTGAATCTCCAGAATATAATGGTCCCCCCCCCGCCATGTGTTCCCCATAGATGTATAGTTAAACGTGCTTTAGGGTCCGCCTGTATGGAAAGACCACCAGCTATCTGTAAGACCAATGCTTCTCATTAAAAACTCCTGTTTAGGGAAACATGTGTATATCGGACCACCTGCCTATAAAGGCCACTTTTGTGTCTCCCTTGCATTGATGGTCGTCACGTACAAGTTTCACTTAACATGTATTACGTAGTCTGAACATTATTTCTATGGGATATATACAAAAGGGTATTGAAATTGCCCTTGCCCTTGAGTTAAGTTAAGTCTTTGCGATCATGTTCTCTATGATTTTAAAGATTTTTTTTTAGATACTTTGGGATTTTTGTGTAAAGATCTGGGTTGTTTTTATATATTTATGAATACATTTATATAAATTGTTTTATCCATATTTTGTTTTAATTCCGTGCTTTCATTACTTCAATTGTGGTGAGGGATTGGTCGGAGAGAAAAAAATGAGTATGTCTGTGCTGTAATGTCTGATATGTAATTACATACATATTATTATCAGTACTATACATGTGGACACACTTGAAGATTAATGTATATTTAAGCCATTTTGATCGCTGCCTTGCATAAACTATCGAAGAACTCGATCTATGTATGACTTTGATATTTGTATTTGTTGATTTTTTTGTTGTATTTTATTTAAAATCGTTTGATATTTGTCATTGAAGAATAAATGTGTGTATAGTGCTGCATGCGGCACATGTAACCAGTACGTACATGTATATTTGTATTTTTCAGGGGTAATAATAGCTTGAAACAAAATGTCCAAAGCTATTGACTGTAAAGTATATTAATAAATACAAAGGTTCAATTAACAACACAAACTTCACAAAGGGATGAACAAAGTATTTGCTATAGAATAGAATGTGTAAATAAAAATGATAAAGATAATAATCATAATGATATGTCCATTTATTAAGAAATATAAGTATCAAATCTCAATAATTTTATCCCACATGGCTTGTCGATTGTCGGGAGAGAACACTGAATGAAAGAGAAGAAGAATTTTCATTGAAAAAATTGAATGCTTATGGAGAATTGTGTGCATAATAGGAATCCTTTACAGCGTACTTCAATTTTGCTGAATAGTATACTCTTCTCATCTCTCATTGTGTTGCTCATTTTAAACCAAATAATTGTGAAAGCGAGTGGGGTGAGAATATTCATTATGTGAAACACTTTTGCCAATACACCTTGTTTCCATTGCCTCAAAAAACACGAACACCTTTATATGTTCCATTATTTATTTACCATTATTTTGTTTTAGATTCAAACCAATTATGTTAATTTTGCTCTGAATTATGCTACCGACAACTCCTGCAATATGCGTCAGGCGTTAGGTGTAAATTACTTGGAGTGTGAGATGGATTGCACTGCATTAACATGGCGCGGTAAGGTGATTGATGCATCTGTGCATTTCTGTGGTAGGTAGCTATAAATGCTAAGTAGTTTATTAGTACCTTCTCCATCACTAGTCTGCAGACACAGACTCTAATTTGACACTTAACCACAATTCCTAAAACCTTGAGCAGAGCCTAGATCAGTCCCTGGCTGTGTCAAATAAGACCTTGTTCAGAATCAGAGCAGCTAAAGTATACAAATATGCGGTAAGCATAGTCTCATAGTGCAGACACTGTTGAGAACAACGATTGACAAGGGTTTATGCCTGCAAACTACTCCCTCAATACACATGGTGCTCACATAGTCTCCAGGCACAGACTCTAATTTGACACTTTACCACAATTCCTAAAGCCTTGAGCAGAGCCTACATCTGTCAGTTTCTGGCTTTGTCAAGAGCGACGTAAGTACAGATCCTATTGTAGTCTCGTGGTACACATCTCTATGCTAGTACATATTCGAGGACATTAGGGACTTTTAGATTCTGCACGACGAGAACGTGGACTGCCTTTGGCAATGTGACGTCCTTTAAAAGCACTGGCAGTGACGTCACATTGCCTTAAAAGGGTAGTCCACGTTCTCGTCGTGCAGAATCTAAAAGTCCCTAATGTTTGTGGGAATACATTGTATAATATCCTGAGGACAATTAGAAAATTTACGAGGATCTACTTTTTCCACGCCAATGTATCTAAATAAAAACACTTATTATATATTCCCCTACATGAAAGGGCATCCAATTTTAAAGGATTTACAGGGTTCTCGAACCGAGGACGTCCTCGTTTTGCGATTTGCAAACTACGTCTAAATGAAAGTGCATTTCTTACGAGTGTCCTCGGTTTGGGACCACAGACAAGGGTACACACGCACACCCGCACCTAATAAGTTGAAGTCAAATTGACTTTTTATCCTACGCTGTGCAATTCAGTGTTAAATGTGCTGATT